TAATAAAATTATCCTCAATCGCAGGAATGATACAAGCTCCGCCGAGTTTTTAAAAGTAGGTAGGTTTAATTTTTTCAACTCGATTTTCGATGTTTTATGTCGGTTTGAATTGATAATTTTATACTTGCTTATTATTTCTGAATTTGGTCCTATTATAACAAAATTACTTGTTTCGTTGGCAATCAATTGGTTGAGTTTCAGGTGAGAAAGGTTAGATTATTGCAGATATGTGTAAAGAAGAACTTTGAAACGCTGAAATAGTGAACAAAATTTTCCGAATGTTCACCATATCTATTTAGATAAGTGTTGGAATCGTCAGATACTTGATGAAAATTCATAATTCCTTCAAGAAACACTTTATTGTGAGATTTTCACTAAACAGTTTTACAAAAACGCAACACGTGATATCACAGCATCCAGGCATTTTTGCCCACATTTTGAAAGATCATGAAATCGAACGTGAATGTGTTGTTAGATATCTGTTTCAAAACTGACTTTTTGACCAGTGGTAATAAGGATAATAAAAAAATATAGTATATTGGTGAAGTGCCTATTGCTGTTCTAAAAGTTTCGACTTTGAAGTTGACATGTTTCAAATTCGATCACACTTAACATAACTTAAGTAAAGGTACAGCTGTCAGATCTAGAAAGAGACTTGAGAATTCTCTCTCGCTCTCTCTCTCTCTCTCTCTCTCTCTCTCGCTCTCATAGTCTTCCAACTAACACACATCTAGTGGGCGAGACCATAACGGAAATCAGAAAACTCTTCCTACATTTGACAAGCTGTATGTTATTATAATAAGAATGACAAATGTATTGTTTTGAATGGTCATTATCTCAAGTTTTTCATTTTGATACAAGTCCTGAATTGGGTCATTATTTCACTTTGACTGGTTCATTTGCAATGACGCCTTGTGGAACAGTTCTTCGATAAGGCAGTTTTTTTTTTATAATAAGGACGTTATTTTTTACAATTTTATGGTCTGTTGATTTTTCGAAAATCCTTTCATAAATTGAATCGGGATATTTTATATAAGAGATTAATTTTCGGAAAAAAATCTTCATTGCTTTCTACTCTGAACTAAAATCATTGAGAATTTCCTCTCTATTTTCAAAAGGCATAGTGAAGTTGGATATCTCAATCAGGAAGTGAATTAATGACTGTGATATGTAAATATTTTTTTCACTATAGGAATGAGGTGTTGTAAATTATTCAAAACAATATATTGGTGTATTTTTAGTAACCAATATATAATCAATCTATTTCTGCATGCTTTCAATTTTTTACGTTAGTCCTGAATCAGTCTCGGTATATAATTCTGGATTCACCCTATGTCATAATAAACAGTCGTTTTGAATATAATGTTATGTTGAAGTAATAATTTACTAAAAGACAGACGTAACGTATTCAAAAACACTTTATTTTGAAATGTTCACTAAACGGTTTTACAAAATCGCAACACGTGTTTCGCCATCAGAATATTACCCGAATTCCTGAATCTATTGATTTCTAAACTATCTAGAAAATTGAGTTTCAAACTCTTCTCTTCTAAATGTAACACATCGTTTTCATGATTGAAATCATGCCCTTCTGCTGAAAGGTGGTTTGCAAATGTGGAATTGGTCTTTCTATTTACAAAACTACTTCTATGCTCTTTAATTCTTTGGGAAAATGTTCTTCCTGTTTGGCCAATATATAGTTTTGGACAAAAGCCACAAGTCAGCTTATATACTCCTGATCTGTCAGACACCGAAGTTTTGTCTTTATTGTTTTTAATAAATTTACTTAGATTAATAGTTGTTCTGTAAGCTTTGTTTACGCATTCTTTCTTCAAAAAACGGACAATATCATTGGTTTGTTTACCCAATGACAATGTCCTATAACTTACGTTATCGCATCTTGAATTTGGGTAGAGCCAGTACATGGCTGGCTTTTGTAGTTTTTTGGAAAGAATGGAGTTTATAATATCTACCTTATAATCGAGCATACTATTGAATGCAGCAACTTTATGCTGGTGGGGGTATGTGGAGGAATTATGTATGATAATGTCCGAGTAAGATGGTTTGTGGAAAATTGCAAATTCATGTTTATTGTTATTTTTCGTAATGGTTGAGTCAAGGAAATTTATTGAATTATTTACCACCCTCTCAGTGGTGACTTTTATAGACGGGCCGATGGAATTGGCATATTCAATGAACTTGCCTAATTGCCTATCTGTACCAGTAAACAGACTAAGATATCATCTACATATATGTACCAGTACAAAAAACTGTTAGTTAACTGATTATTATGGATTTCATATTCTATGTTATCCATGAAAATTTCCGCCAGCAAGGGACTCAAAGGGTTCTCCATTATGCCCGAAGAAGCCATTGTATGGCGAAACACGTGTTGCATTTTTGTGAAACTGTTTAGTGAAAATCTCACAATAAAGTGTTTTTTGAATACGTTAGTTATGGATTTTGACCAAGTATCGGCCAATTCCACCATATATCTTAAGAAAGCCCCTACGGCTTTTTGGCCATTTGGTGTTTTAAACTCATTCTACGATGTGTTTTAATGACACAAAACATATGGTTTTTCAACCAATGTATAAAAAACGGAATATACCCCAAATTTACCGCCCTAAAGACCAACAATAAAAGTAGAGTAGCCCAAGAAGGAACCAATTATGGAAGAAACAAATGGATGAATTTTTTTTAATGTTCCTGTTCATAATGCAAATGATATAGAATCATATCGTATGCATAAACAATACTTACTTGAATGTTTTGCTCGTTCATAAATTCATTTCTTGTGTTTTATATGATAACGTTATCTCTTTTACATTAAAATATTTCAAAACTCTTCAGCTTCTTGAGATACATCCTTGAAATAATGCAAATGATAGAATCATATCGTATGCATAAACAATACTTACTTAAATGTTTTGTTCGTTCATAAATTCATTTCTTGTGTTTTATATGATAACGTTATCTCTTGTACATTAAAATATTTCAAAACTCTTCAGCTTCTTGAGATACATCCTTGAAAAAAATATTTTTTTTTTCGTTATAGATTATTTTATCACTAATTCCCCATCCACTCGATACTGATATTTCAATAGGAAGTTATAGTTAGCTATCACAATAGCCCCAAACCACGGGGTTTGGGCCAAAAATAAATTATCTTGTCCTCGAAAATACAGTTCCGCATGCCCAACAAGCCTGTCAGTGTACTGTAGATTTTTAGTATCGTTCCCTTTATTTTTCCCAGTTGTATAGCCAATCAAAGTTGAACTATAGAGAAACTGTAACACAATTACCCCTATTCACCTTATTTCGAATGAGAAGAATTTCAAGACATCATTCAATCAATTGGGTATCAAACGAATTCAAAGCCTTTGCGCCCAAAAGTTTTCTCCATATCTTCCTTCAGTGTATCAGGAGAGTCCAACCCTAGATTGATGAAGTTGAATTTCCGCCTATACTCATTTTCGTTTGTTGGGTAAGTGAAATTTTAAGAATTTAGCAACTTTCGAGGCTTTCATTGTTTTGTTTCCAATCCGCTTTCGAAAGTTTCCCAATTTTTCAAGGAAGTCAAAATTTCTGAAAAAAAGTGATGGGTGCCGCGAAAAAATTCCAATCATTCAAGGAGCCGCAAACCGAAAACGATTGGGAATCTCTGTTCTACACTGTAATCAGTATTTTAGTTTCAATTAACCTGATTACGTTGTATTTCATAAACTCACCTGTATTAGTAATACTCCCTATTCCAGGTATATTTGTTAAAATTCCTGTGTCACCTTGGAAGGGACGTTTGTTATTTTGATCCCGATTAAGGGAATTTTGGACCGGAATATATCCTTCTGAGTCTTGCGAGTATTGCTGAGAGTCTTGGTACTGCTGATGGGCCTGATTGACCTGAAGATTTGGTTGAAAATTCGTTAGTGAAAGTCCTGGTTTTCCACTTGTTAGATGACCGAATTGATGCTGCTGCTGCGTATCTGAATTTTGCTGTGAAGATTGATAATTCTGTGATATATCAGTGCCACCTTGAAAACCTGCTACAGGAAGACCCGATGTACCACCTAAAAAAAATTTGTTGAAATACCTGGTGCTAGACTTTGGACTTGCTCGATTTCATTCAACTGTTGGGCATTTTGACTGACTGTTTTTTTCTGAGTAATAACAGAGCACTTTTCAAACTTGCTGCTGTGAATCTTGATAAATACCTTGTTGATTCTGAAGTTGTTGAAAATTGTTATGAGTAGGGTTGTCGCCGTGAAAACTTTGTGATGAAATCTTGATATCTGAAGGTGGTCGATTTTGATCTGACACGGAACTTTGGAATCTATTTTCAAATTGGGGAAACTTGCTCACAGAGGGGTAATTTATGTCAGGTTGTTTAGAAACTGGTTTAGCGGTAGTAGTCACATAACCACATCCTCCGCAGGCAGGTTTGATGGTAGGTTGTGTGGTGAAATCGTAAGTGACTCTAGGTTTGCGTGTGGTGATAACGTTGTTGGATTGTGGCCCTGATGATGGCAGTTTTTCAAACTGCTGCGAAACTGGTGCAAGAGGTTTTTCAGGTTGTTCATTTCGATTTTGTTTCTTGAGATATTTTCCTGCTTCGGGTGAAATTGGACCAGTAGCAGGGGATCCATCTAGAGCTGTAACAGCAAATATTGTAAATAGTATGAAAAAGCAAATTTGCGGTCTNCAAATATTGTAAATAGTATGAAAAAGCAGATTTGCGGTCTGTAGACATGAATATAGGAGCATTGGGAAAAAATTGAAAGAAAAATTGAAATTCTACTTCATGTAATTCTCAAGGAATTGGTCTTTATGGGTACATAAATATGAAAGATTTTTGTCATTACATATCCAGAAATATGTGAAAAATCTTCAAATGATTTTCAATCCAGAAAAGATACTCACGAGCACTGATTCTAATATTCTTCATACTCAGAATTTTGAAATTCCCATTTTCATCAGTAGCGTACACTGTGACGTGATAGATTCCATCTGCTGTGATGAAACCAAATTCTCCTTGAATTATTCCATTTTGATCTGTAAAAAAAAATTCGAGTTGCTTGAATATTACACATTAAGAGTTTATGCAACCCTGGTTTAAATACCAGGGTTTTTATAAGTATTTGCAATGCATATTCCTAATAATTCCTGTCAGTTGTCAACAAAAGACTTATGAAATGAACAGTTGAATGTCATTCAAATTGAGTTAATGTTTTTAAAATTATTTTTACATGAAAACGTGATTTTTTTTTCATGTCGTTTGAAGTATCAATTATGCGATTTCTCTAAATTCTGAGAGAACATGAAAGCTGAAAATCAGTCGAATGAAATCCCAATTATCGTCATTCAAAGATGAGGGCATCTATCGTTAAACTAAGAGTTACTTGAATATATTTGTAAGTGAAAATGTATCAAAGTTATCTATAAAGATTAAAAATTAAGAGTAAGCCACCCAATTGTAATGTTTGTGAGTTATTCAATATGCTTCGGAAAATTCAATCTACTATAATATTAGACACTTTATTAGGCGTACTGACCCTAAAGATTTGATAAAACAAAACGCCTAAATCACATCCTGTTTCAATATTGTCAAAACCAAGTCCTGAACCATTCAACTGCTTCCCAATTGATTTTTGAAATTATTGGTTTTCTAACTTTTCCAGATTACCTGCCAATATGATTATGGAAATTTATCAACTCTCATCAAAAACTAAAATTGGGGAAATGAGTAACCTTAAGGTGAATTGGACAAAATAAACCAGTTGAAACAGATTCTTCCTCAAATTATTGTTTTTGAATTGCGATGGCTTTCTATCTATTATGATGAGACGTTTGTTAAGATTTGAAAAATACCAAGGGAGTCGAAATATTGAATAATGTAAAATGAAACACAAATAAGAAGAAATCAATCAGATCTGCTTATCTGCATCATTCAATACCGAGATTTTTATATTAATGGGACCCATCCATTCATTAGCTTATAACAGTAATTAGATGGGTAAGAAAGTTTTTGGCTTTCTGCTACTCCATCTTGATACAAAAAATGTGGGAATCTTCTAAAGGAATGAAAGAAGTAATCAATTTGAAAATAAGTAACTCTATACATGGATGTGTAGATCATGCAAAGAAGCAACTTTCAGGCACAAACTGGAAGAAAGCTCTCCTGAAATATGTACTTTCATATAAACATTGAATCACACGAAAGAAAAAAATTATTTCGTTCTTTCTACTCAGTTTGTATTCCAAACATTCGTCATGGAATAAAATCAGATATGATTCACAGGAGTTCTACTTTAAATGAATGGTGACAAGTTGAACTCACATGGAACACTGTCATCCTCACTGGTAGACATCGATGTTTCGTCGTAAAGTATCTTCTGTATATTTCACTGTTTTATATAAAAATATTTGTTTCGGAAGAATTTTTTTCTTTCGTGTAATTCAATGTTTATATGAGAGTAGGTGTTTCAGGGGGGCTTTCTTCAAGTTTGTGTCTGAAAGTTGCTTTTTTGCATGATATACACATCTATGTATAGAGTTACTTATTGTCAAATTGATTACTTCTTTGGAAGATTCCCACACTTTTTTGTATCAAGATGGAGTAAAGAAAGCCAAAAACTTTCTTTCCTATAGAGCACCTAGAGCACGTTTACCATTCACAGCTGAAGAACCGCTGCCAGAAATCAGGAGAATCCCTACAGGAGTTTGAAGCCGACATAGCTCGATTGGTCCGTCTGGCATATCCTGCTACACCCGAAAATGTGATGGAACGGTAAGAAACGAGGCGGGCCTTGACGCTAGCTCATCCCAAACATCTCGTGGATGCACTGGCAAGCGCTCTGGAGTTTGAGGCTTCAAAACAATCCTGCAAGAGCCAGAGCAAAGTTCGAGCTATCGAGGAAGATGGACAAGTGCCTGCTGATATTGAGGCCACCATTAGGAAAGTAATGAAGGAAGTTTTGCCTGAGAGGAAACAAATAAGATGCTGGAACTGTGGGAAAATTGGACATGTGCGTAGCAAATGTCCAGCTTTCAAAGAATCGACACCAAATCAGGAAAACTAGAGCAGGTCGATGAGAAGGGGCAATCGTCGGCCTGTACCCAGCAAGCCCCCGTAAAAAACGCATATGTTGTCGTTCTCCAACGATGAGACAAAGGTGTTTTCGTAGACAGCCTCATCAACAACGAGCCTTGCACCATGCTGCTAGATACAGGTGCGACGAGAACCATTCTTGGGCCAACCTTTGCAAAAACACCGGCAATAATTGAACCGTCAAGCTGGAAGCTACGCATCGCAACAGGGGAGCCAGCCACTGTACTTGGAGAACTACCAATTGAATTGGTGTTGGGCAGTACAAAATTGAAACATTGTGCATTGGTGGCGGACATCGAGGACGATGCAATCATTGGAATGAACATAATGAATTCCAGAGGGTTCGAGCTGAATTTCTAAGACGGCGTCCTACGTGTCGGCGGAGAAGAGCTGGTGCTTCATGGAAGAAGCGAAGAGACGATCAGGGTCCTGTTGGCCGAAGACGAGTGTGTACCGGAAAGGGCTGAAACCATCCTGGAGGCTCGCTTGGATGGAAGTGCGAGCAGCGGCAAGGTGGTAATGTTCGAGCCCAAGATACATGATGAGAAAATTGGACGAGGAATCGCACTGGGGAAGACCCTTTGGCGTGTTGATAAAGTTGTGCCAGTCAGGGTCATGATTGTCAACTACTTTTCCGTGACCTTGAAGAAAAGAACCATGCTGGGGCACTGTTCGTCCATTTCCTCTGTGATACAGAGTGTACGCTGTTCTGTTAGCCAAGCCAACAACTTGCCTAAAGAGTTGGAGAAGTTGATTGACATTTCCTCTAAGGACATACCAACAACTCACCGATCAAAACTGAGGGAGTTAGTCAAGAAGTACCAGGAAATCTTCGACATTGGAGAAGGAAAAGGCGGCAGAATGAATGTGGTTCAGCATAGAATCGACACTGGGAATGCCCGACCAATCCGGCAATCAGCTAGAGACTTCCTCTTGCCAAGAGAGAAGAGGCAGATAAGATAGTCAGCGATATGGAAAAAGAAGGAGTCATCGAACCTTCTGACAGCCCCTGGTCTTCCCCAGTCGTGTTAGTGAAGAAGAAGGACGGCTCGAAAAGGTTCTGTGTGGATTATCGCCAACTAAGTCACGTGACGAAGAAAGACAGCTACCCTCTTCCAAGAATCGACGACACCCTAGACACGCTAGCCGGCTCCACAATTTTCTCGACTTTGGATTTGAAGAGTGGATATTGGCAAATATGGAGCGGAGCTCCATACATGAGAATAATACTCCAAAGAAGGTCTGATCTAAGCTTCATAAAGCATCAAAAGTTGCTGAGGTGTGCACAGTTTTCTGGTTCAGAACAGTGTTCCAAGCTTTTGAGAAGCAGCCTTTGCATTTCCAGCGACATGATTGTGCCAAGACATATTGGTGTCCGTTTTAATCCCCAACAAACTTATCGAAACAGAAAGCTGAATTGTTTTTCCTGACATTAGTTACTGGTTACTTTCACCCCAATTCAATATCACTTCAAGATCCTCATTAAGATTTGCAAACTCCTGCTGCCAGTGAAGATGTGCTTTACCGATCGATGTCCTGGAACCCAAATGGAATGACGAGACAAGTGTGCTGTGGTCAGCAAAGCAATATATTGGATTCTTGAAAAGAAGGTATCATTTTAATAATCTTTATTACCAGAAGTTAGTTCTCGAAAAATTCTTAACATTAACATAGGTCTAGTTATTTCTAACTAGTGCGAACCAGAATAAAAATCCTGTCTTTGGAATGCGGCCTTTGGAACTTACCTAACCCAACATAACGCTACTCAAGTTAAGGTAATCTGAAGGAATACCAAATAAATTTTTCAATGTTACCAGGTATACTTTAATTTTTGAGTCCACCGTATACTAACATCTGAGCTGAATAATGGAATTTCATTGTAAAGTTTTTCAATCTCCTTCAATGTTTATGGTTTCCTCGGGGATAAAAATCAGATTCATTCTTTTTCAATTAATTATTGCTTTATTGTGCTCAATAGTGTCAGAAAAGTTTTCAAAAGCATTATTATTTGGCGGCATAACATCACGAAACCTTTCTATCAAACAATATCCTGTCAAAAATCAATATTAACTCTATAAGCTGGGATGAATGGCACTCATAAAAGGTTTATAAAAGCTTTGTTCAAATGGAAATCGTGAAGCGTGCTGAGGATTTTTGCCTCCCCCATTGTTCAGCATCAGTAATTTGAAGTAGGTGGCATAGAAGGTTAGAATAATAATGAATTGAAAACACTTCCTAAATAATAATTCATTGTTTCGATTTCATTCTGATATTCCTCTCTCACGAAGTATAGAGCGTGGAGCATGTTGAAAGGAATTCAGATGAGAATAAAATCAATAGAGTTCAGAGTTATTTATAGCATATATCAGTCAAATCATTCATTGAATGATGATCAATGAGAACAAAATGATTATGGAGTTTATTTTAAAAATTTCATTTGAAAAAAGATCAGATCTGTGTAGGAGGAATACCAATAACTTTGGATATATTCCTGAGAACCCCCACCTTGAAATCATACTTTGTTCATATTATAGTTATGTTTTCCTCAAGCAAATAAAGTTACAATACAGTTCAAAAGTTCCTCAAGGAGGTAGTTGAAAATAATAGATATGTTTCTAATATCCTAGACTTTTTTTAAATGTATTGTTGTTTCTTATGAACTCAAGTATAATATTTAATAACAATAATAATAACCAGACCACCAGACCAAGACGATATTTGTCGTGGAGTTTTCAGCTCCTGGCGAGACAAATATCGTCCGAAAAGAGGAGGAGAAACGGATAAAATATGAGATTTTCTCTTCGAACTCCGCATTCAGCAGTAATTTTCATTCGCATTTAACAATCCACTATAATATTACTTTTTAGCAGCGTCTTCTTTTACGAATTCTTGAACTGCTGAACATCAGCAAAGCTTAATCTGGAAGTGCCTGTTCTCAAATGTA